GGGGTGGGTAGAGAGAGAGAATCCCAAGCAGGCTCCACACTGTTAGCTCAGAGCCTGACGCGGTGCTCGAACCCACAAACTGAGAGATCATGACCTGAGCCAAAACCAGGTGTCAGAAGCTCAACCGACTAAGCCCCCCTAGTTTGGAAGAATCTTAGCTGCCATCCCTTCAAATACTGCTGCTGCCCATTCCTCTTCCCGTTTTTCTCTGCCTGTTCTGAGACCTTCCCTTCCGCCCCGAGGCCTTTCACATTGCTCTTCTTCCCATGTGTTTTCCTCTCGTGCCTCGGTGTGGATACTTTGTCCCCTTGTCTATCTCGTGATCCCTTCACAAGACCCGTGAAATCGGGTGCTCTTTGTCTGCTTCCCGCTCAGCTACTTTCTCTGGCTCCACAGCGTTCGTGAACTTGGTGGGGAGAGCAGGGCCGGCTTTCTCCCTCCCCCTGCACGCCCCTCTCTTCAGCTCCTCCTTGGGCGCTGGCTGTCGGGGGGAGAACAGTGTGTGGGGGAGAGTTGACCTCACTTCATCCAGTGCCCTTGGTTCTGGCGTCTGGCCTCACGGGTCCCGGATCCCTGGGTGGCATTGTGCACCTTCAAACTGAGTGTTAAAGTTCTCTGCAGCGTTTCTTGGGCTCGGTAGAAATACTGTTGCGCCGTGAGCCGCTGTAGCCCTGAGAAGGTCTGAGCAGATGATTTGAATGTGTTCTGTATCCCCCTCAACTGATGGTGGCGGTCTGGGATTTGTCCGCCAGGCACTCCCGGGGGAGGAACTACAAGGCAGAGTTTGCGTCCTGCCGGCTGGAGGCTGTGCCACTGGAGTTTGGGGACTATCACCCGCTGAAGCCCATAACCGTAAGTTTTGTCACGAGGCCCTCTCTAACCTCTCTAACCTCTCACTCCTCAAAATGACAAGCCTGGTTCCTGGGTCTTTCCCACTTGCCGGCCGGAGCTGCTTTTGCACATTTCTGTCGGCCACTTTGTTCCCAGGCCCTGGTTTTCGTGACGTTGACCTCACCCACCGTCATGTTCCTTGTGCCCTTTCTCACATTTGCGAGGTTGTCACGAGTGGGTGATGCCTTTGCTCCTGATGTGGGTGTATAAACGAAACCCCTTCTTAAGTTTGCCTGTCCTGAAGATGCTGTTCTGAACGGCGTCTTCATCTGTGTGAGTTATTTAAAAAGTAAAGTGAAAAGCAGGCCAGTGATATAGATGGTCCCTCTCTTCTGGGTTAGCGCTGTTTCACCAGCAGATAATAGAAGCTGTGTGGCTCTCATCACGGGTGGGGGTGAGGGTGACAGACACATACCTTAGAATGCCCAGAGGCCATTGCATAAAGCAGGAGGTCACAGCTGGAGTGTCTGCCCTCCCCCTCCCCCCCAGGCCCTGTGGGCTTGTAGAGTCACAACTGAGACACCAGTGGGTCGTTTCCAATCTGAGAACTCACTCCCGTGGACACAGACCAGCCACATCAGCTCCAGGCTTCCATCCTGCAGCTTTCGTGACACGAGAGCAGGGAGTTTCTCTTTTCTGGTTCTGTGTCCCTCCCTGACCCAGGCTGGTGCCCCAGGGAAGGGAATGTGCTGACTGACTGGGTTGGGGTAGAACCCCTCCACCCCAACCAGGCCTGTAGGAGCTGAGAGTCAGGGAGGGCCACTTTCCCAAAGAAAACAACTGCCAAGCCTGGGAGAAGGGGGGACAGATGCCAGGCAGACAAAATGACTATTGTGTACCAATAGGAGGCCCTTTGCCAGATCATCCGGGGTTGGTATCAGACCCTACAGGTTTAGGGCAAGCTCTTCAAAAAGGCAGTCCTGCTTCAGACACCCACTGCAGATTTGGGGGACCCCAGGCCACCCGCTGATCAACTGTCTGCAAATCCAGACCTCCCCTCAGGCTTGATAATACGCTAGGAGAGCTCAGACAACTCAGAAGCCCTGTGTTTACAGTTTCATATGAAGGATACAAATGAGCAGCCAAATGAGAGACAGGTAGGTGAGGCCCGGGAACGTCCTGAAGACAGAGCTCTCTGCCCTCTGCCTTTGGAACAGTGTATCACCTCCCGGCACATGGTGCAGCCACCAGCCAGGAAGCTCCACTGAGCTTTGGTGTGTCCACACTTTGTGTTGGGGTTTCATTACACAGCGTGATGCAGTGATTCCTTGGCCACATGACTGGACCTCATCTCCAGCCTCCCTCCCCTAAGGTCAGGCTGGTACCCCCTGACTGTGCTCACAGGAGTGGTCTTTCTCACGACCAGCCCCCATGCTGGTCTTGTTACCATCAAGTCATGTGTGACTGAGGGGCGTGTAAATGACAGACACTCCAAGGACCGGACCCTCCTTTCCCAGAACTAGGACAAAGGCTGGTCAAGTTCTCTTTTATCCAGCCCTTCCTTTCATTCTATCACATCCCGTCCTCTCTGAAGACGGGTTTTCTCTGCCTTCCTGTGGATATGCCCAGAGTGTCCATTACTTCCCTCAGCCCCTGGGTTTTCAGAGCTTCCTTGTTTAAGGAGGAGAGTGGAGCCCAGCCAGCCCTTCTGGATTTTGTGCTGCATTTTCAGCAGAAACACTGGTTGGATCCTCTTGGCTCAGGGGTTCACCCCTGATCTGGTCATCTGAAGTCAGAAAGAGTTGGGGGCCAGTGGAACAAAAACATGGCTTCACACCCTGACACCCCACCTGTCCCTCAGTGCTCAGCAGTATGTGGCATTTGAAGTTCTTTGAAAAGGAAGGAGATCGTGTTAAGTCGCAGCTTCCGATGCAGTAGATCCAAGGTGGAGCTCCAGAGTCCGTGTTTTTTGACGAGCTCCATGTGATGTGGCTGCTGCTTGTCTGGGGACCTGCTTTGTGTAAGGGGATCCTACCAGGGTGCAGTTCAATCCCACCTTCTAATCCCTTCCTCCATAGCTGGGATTCTGAGTCCTCTCGGTTTGTCACAAAATGTAAGTGTCCCTGCCACAAAGCAATGGTCACTTCAACTAAGGGAATGAGGGAAAACACATTGAGTGTTGGGGGAAGGTCATAGGAGATTCCCTCTTTACCTGCTCGGGTTTTCCCCACAGGTCACAGAGTCCAAGACCAAGAAAGTGAGCCGGAAAGGCAGCACTTCCTCCACGTCCTCCTCGTCTTCCAGCTCCGTGGTGGACCCACTGAGCAGCGTGCTGGATGGGACAGACCCCCTCTCCATGTTCGCGGCCACGGCTGATCCTGCAGCCCCGGTAACACTCCCTGCTTGTGGTCAGTCCTGTGGGGGCAGGGCTGGTGGCTTTTCTTTTTGTTTAAAAAAAAAAATTTCTTTTTTTTTTTTTTTTTAACATCTATTCATTTTGAGAGACAGAGCACAAGTGGGGGTGGGGCAGAGAGAGAGGGAGACACAGAATCTGAAGCAGGCTCCAGGCTCCAAGCTATCACCACAGAGCCGGATGCGGGGCTTGAACTCAAGAGCTGTGAGATCATGACCTGAGCCGAAGTCGGTTGCTTAACTGACTGAGCCTCCCAGGGTGCCCTCACTTTTTTGTTTCTAAATGGCACAGATCCCACATTGTCATTGCGACAGTTTTCAGGATCCAGACACCCACAGGGTCCCCCTTACGGAGCCCTCCTCTCCCCACCCTCCCACCCCCCTTTGTGAGAGGCTAGTGTAGATCCTGGAAGTTTCTTCTTTTCTTTATTAAAGCATTTTAAAATTCATTGTTGATTTTAATTTCGCCCTTTATTATTCTTTTCTTTTTCATTTATTTTTTTTTTAATTTTTTTTTTTTAACGTTTATTTATTTTTTTGGGACAGAGAGAGACAGAGCATGAACGGGGGAGGGGCAGAGAGAGAGGGAGACACAGAATCAGAAACAGGCTCCAGGCTCTGAGCCATCAGCCCAGAGCCCGACGCGGGGCTTGAACTCACGGACCGCGAGATCGTGACCTGGCTGAAGTCGGACGCTTAACTGACTGCGCCACCCAGGCGCCCC